ACCACAATGTTCATAGCAGCACAATTTACAATAGCCAAGAGCTGGAAGCAACCTAGGTGCCCGTCAGTAAATGAATGGATCAAAAAATTGTGGTACATATACACAATGGAATTCTATGCAGCAGAGAGAAAGAAGGAGCTACTACCCTTTGCAACAACATGGATGAACTGGAAAGCATTATGCTGAGTGAAATAGGCCAGGCATTGAAGGACAAATACCATATGATCTCACCTTTAACAGGAAGCTAAATAACAAAATAAACAAGCAAATAGAATAAAAACAAAGACACTAAAATAGAGAAAAAGTGGGCAGTGACCAGAGGGGAGAGGGAAAAGAATTTAAGGGGAAAAACAGGGAGGGATTTTGAAGAACAAGTATGAAAGACACAGAGATGAGGACTGGGCGGGGGGGAATGGGAGGGAGGTGGGGAGATGGGGCGGGGGGGGCTGGGATGGGAGAAATTGACAAAAGAAAACTGTACTTGAAAAATAACTAAATAAAATAAAATATTTAAAAAAAACCCACAATTATACTCTTTCCAATAGATGATGGAACTGAATTAACAGGGACCTATTTACTTAACAATGTTTAATTAAATGATTCATTGACGAAGAAAAGATCGATAAAATGGACAAATTTTAGCTAGACTAAGCAAGATAAAAAGAGAAAAGACTCAAATTACTAGAATCAGAAATGAGAGAACACTTCACTTCTGGCCTTAGTGAAATAAAAACATCTGAATACTATGAATAATTATATGCCAACAAATTAGAAAACTTGGGTAAAATGAACATATTTCTAGAAAGACACAAATTGTTAAAACTGACAAGAATATATAGTCTCACTAAGTGGGTAAAAAGTAAAGAGACTGAGTTAAAAACTACCCCCAAAGAATTGCTCAGCTCATATGATGTCACTGCTGAATTCAACATCTAAGGAAGAATAAATAGCAGCTCTTCAAAAACCCTTCCCCCCAAAATAAAAGAAGGAACACTTCCCAACTCGTTGTATAATGCCAATATTACCTTGATACAAAAGCAAAGACATCACAAGAAAATAAAACTATAAATTACAAATAGATTAATTACAAATATACAAATTATAAATCTACAATATAGATTACAAATATGTACACAAAAATCCACAACAAAATGCTGGAAAATTGAATCCAGAAATATATAAGAAGAATTATATACCATGACTAACCAGGACTTATCCCAGAAATACAAGATTGGTTTAACATCCAAAAATTTACCAATGTAATAAATCATTTTAATAAAAAACAAAAATCAAATGGTCTTCTCAATAGATACAGGAGAAGCATTTGACAAAATTCCAATTCCATTTCATGATGACACTCAACAAAATAGATACAGAAAGGGATGTCTTCAACTTGATAAAAAAACAAAAACCTCACAGCCTATGTCACAATGATGAATGACTGATTGTTCTTCTACTATCAGAAACAATACAAAGATGTTCACCCTTGCCACTTCTAGTTAAAATTTTAGTGGAGATTGTAGCCAGGGTAATTAGGTAAGAAAAAGAAATTAAAAGCATCTAGATTTTAAAGGAACAATTAAAACTATTTCTATTTGCAGACTACATGATCTTGTATATAGAAACCCCTAAGTAATCCACTAAAAATTATTAAAACTAATGATCCAGTTCAGCAAGTTCATAGGATATAAGATCAATATGCAAAATCAATTGCATTTCTATACATCTTCAATGAACAACCCACAAGTAAAATTAATAAACAACTTGAGTTACAATAACATCAAAAAGAAAAAATACTTAGAAATGAACAAAAGAAGTATAAAATTTATACACTGAAAACTACACAATACTGTTGAAAATTAAAGATCTAAATAAATGAAAAACATTTATATTTAGGGATTATAAGATTTAAAATTGTTAACATTGCAATACTCCCAATTAAATCCATAGACTTAAGCAGTCTCTATCAGAATCTCAGCTTGCTTCTTTTTAGAAATTGAGAAGTGGATTCCAAAATTCGTATGGAATTGTGGAGGACTCAGAATAGTCAAAACAATCTGAGAGGAAAAATAGTGTAGAACTCACATGTCCTGGTTTCAAAATTTGCTACAAAGCAACAGTAATCAAGAAGGGGTAGTACTAGTACAGGACTGACATACAAGTCAACAGAACAGAAGTGGGAATCCAGAAATAAAACCATGTGTCTATGGTCAATTGATTTTCAATGAGTGTCCCAAGACTTAGTGCTTATTTATCAACAGGTAAATAAAACAGTCTTTCCAGGAATAATGCTGGGATAGCTAGATAGCCACAAGCAAAAGAATGAGGTCTGACCCTTTAACCCTTACCTCAAATCACATGTAAAAGTTAACTCAAAATTGATCAAACACTTAAATATAAGAGCTAAAACTATAAAACTCTTAGAAAGGAACAGGGGTATGTCTTCATGACATCAGATTTGGCAACAGATTCTTAGCTATGATAACAGCAACATGAGTAACAAAAAATAGATCATTTGACTTTATCAATATTGAAAACTATTGTGCTTCAAAGGACACAATCAAGGAAGTGAAAATAAACCCACAGATGGGAGAATATACTCATAAATCATATATCTGACAAAGAATTTTCAAACAGAATATATAAAGGACTCTTACAACTCAATAATAAAAAGACAAATAGCCAATTTAAAAATGAGGAAAACATATGAATAGACATTTTCCAAGAAATATATACAAACAGCCAATGAACCCATTACAAGACACTGAGCATAATTAATCATTAGGGAAATACAAATCACAACCATGAGGAGATACCAATCCATACCCAATAGGGTGAATAGAATCAAAAAGTCATCAATAAATCAAATAGCAAGTATTATGGAGACAAGGGAACCCTTGTACACTGTTGGTGGGAATGATGATTGGTGCAACCACTGTGGAAAGCAGTATGGTATTACCTCAAAAAATTAAAAATGGAACTGCCTTACAACCTAGTGATTCAACTTCTGGGAATATATCTGAAGAAACCTGAAACTCTAATTCAAAAGAATATAGACACCCCTATGTTTATTGCAGCATTATTTCCAATAGCCAACACTTGGAAGCAGCCCAAGAGTCCATCAGTAGATGAGTGGATTAAAAAGCTGCAGTACATTTCACAACAGAATACCAATCAGCCATAAAAGAGAAGGAAATCTTACCTTTTGTGAGAGCATGGATGGACCTGGAGAGTATTGTGCTAACTGAAATAAGCCAGTCAGAGAAAAACAAGTACCATATGATTTCACTCCTAGGTGAAATCTAATGAACAAAATAAACTAACAAAAAACATAGAAACACTCATAGATACAGAGAACACACTGACATGTGTCAGAGGGGAGGGAGGTTGGGGAGCTGGGTGAAAAGGTGAAGAGATTAAGTTAAAAAAAGTCAGAGAATAACAGGTATTGACGAGGATGTGGAGAAATCAGAACCCTTAAAACACTGGCTGGAGCCCTGGCTGGTGTGGCTCACTGGATCTGAGTGCTGGCCTGAGAATCAAAGTGGTTCCATTCCCACTCTAGGGCACATGCCTGTGTTGTGGGCCAGGTCCCCAGTAGGGGGCGCACAAGGAGCAACCACATATTGATGTTTGTCTCCCTCTTTCTCCCTCCCTTCCCCTCTCTAAAAATAAATAAAGTATGTATTATTTTTAATTGACTGGAAATGAAAAACAGCACAGCCATTTTTGGAAATAGTTCCACATGATTAAACATAAAGTTACCATATGATCTAGCAATTTCACCTTTAGGTATATATTTAACAGGCAAAATGAAATCACATGCCCACACAAAAACTTACACATGAACATTTATAACAGCATAACTCACAAAAGCCAGAAAGTGAAACAACCCAAATGTCCATCAGCTAGGGAATGCATAAACAAAATCTGGTAAAACCATGCAGTGAAATATTCAGTCATAAAAAAAAGGAATGAAGTAATGACACATGCTACAACATAGGAGAACCTTGAAACCATGATGGTAAATGAAAAAGGGCAACACAAAATGCTACATAGTTTATGATTCCACTGATAGGAAATGTCCAGAATAAGACAATACAGAGACAGAAAGATTAGTGGTTACTTAAGTCTGGGAGAGTTGGGGACTAAGGGGTAATAATAGCTAAAGGGCATAGAGTTCCTTCCCGAGGTATTGAAAATGTTCTAAAATCAACTGTGCTGATGGTTGCACACATCTGTGAATATAGTAAAAACTACTGAACTGTAATATTTTCAATGGGTAAATTATATGGCATGTGAATTATATCTCAATAAAGCTATTAAAAATGATTGTTTTCAAAAATTAGAACAAAGTGAATGAAATATTATGAGGAAAGATGGTGCCAAATATATCCAATGGTAACTGTATTAATTAATGTTTTAATTAATGGTTCCAAAATATACATACATAAAAGATGAGAATGAAATAAGCCATACTGTTTCCTATAGGTGATATTCCTTCATTTTTTTTATTGTCTGTACTTTACAATGACTATTATTACAGTAATAATCAGGATAAAATTATAAAACCTAAAATAATCAGTTATAAACTTGCAGAAATACACATAGAAAGAGGACCTGGGACCACACACATTAAGCTCCTAAAGGCCTTTGCCCTCTGCCCTCTGCCCTTTGAGGAATTTTGGCTTCAATAAAGGAATAAGGAAAAGAGAGACACTAATTAACAACTTGGAAGACAATTTAAAAGTATTCATTCATAGACTAAAATGCACAGAGAATTTGTCTCTGATTCTATTTGAATCAATGGCAAGCTGAGTTACAAAAGACACCTGCGCCTGGGAAACCTAGCTGTCATGCACAAACCTGGAATATCTGCACGCCCTAGATTTTAGAAATAAAAATAGAAATTCTTTTGGCTACAAGTAAACTCTCTTAGGAGACACAGCCTTGAAGCTTCAGAACCTGGAACCGTAAGAGTGCATTAGACTGTACCTCACCCTGTGTAAAATTGAAGGTCCCAGCTCCATCGATGGTGCCAGCTGCGAAGCTGTAGCCTAGTGCTGGTTTACATGTTTTTACCTAAAGGAAAGATTTGAAAGACAAAATGAAAACAAGGAAAGAAAAAAAGAAACAGAAGTTCAACTTCCACTAATAATGAGATCAGCCCAGAGCTTTACTGTTGTGGCATAAACAGTGGGACTCGGCGACACTCACTGCGTGTGTGGAATTGAGCAAGACCGTAACATCCGTCATGTTCACCCACTGGTGAGCTGAAATCACTGGTCCGGTTAACTCCTGGGAGGCCAGGGCATACAGCACCTAGAAAACACACCATGGCTAACCGTTCTGAGCAAACGGCTAAAGTGAGTACTACCCCTGTACCCAATGAGCACCAATTTGGAAAAAGATCTGTCGGCTGCGTTTGGTTTTGCCGTCTGCTTAGAAATGGCCCCTGCCCACGTGGATCTCTCTGCCAATCGTTGGTCTCCTGATGATTGAAGGCCCTGGATGGCTGGTTTGTGTCTGTTCCCCCAAGATGAAAGAGTAGTGATACAGGAGGTGGCACAAAAGGCCCCAGTCTCACTTGAAAGACCAAAAAAAATTTAAGAGTAGAACTAAGAGGGCCAAATTACTTTCTTTGCCAGAACAAGCACTTATCATCAGGCATTCTCAGAATCCTTGAGACCTCCTGCAGGGCTGGGGCCCCAGGCTGGCTTGAAAGACTTCAGGCCCTGCTTAATCTGCATAAGCTCCCCTAACACCCCACCCCTCTTTGATGATCCTTTTTTGTTCAGTTTGGTCAACTTATGTGAGTCAAAACATGTTTCAAAATATTTTTTGTATTGCTCTGTCATACAATGTAGCCAAATCCTGATTCAGCGCAAGTCCCTTTGCTTAACACACAACTCATTTCCACGCAGTCTCCATCCCTGTTTCAGCAGCCACCTGGGAGCTCTCAGGACAAGTGACACCAGCTGCAGCCTGCCTCCCCCATAAGAGGGAGGCTGTGCCTTGCTGGAAAAGAATGCAGAATGTGGGACAAACCTCTGTGGCTCCCAGGCCCAGAGAGGTAACAAAATTTCTGCAACCAAATTGTGTCACAGGTGCACTTCCTAAATAGAATCTGTTAATTGAGGGCAATCCACTGATAATACCACTGTAATTAAAAAGAAACAACAGCAATTAGGGCTGGCTAGTGTCTGGTGTTCTAAAAGGTGCTTTTGTTCTTCCTTAATTGCTCCTGAAACATGTTACAGCTCTCAGAACAAAATATTTACTCACACACAAATATTTTGTGTGCACAACAAAGGTATAAGTCAGCTATTAAAAAGGACGGGATTTAACTATCTTTATCAGAGATATCTCAGCTCTCCAGCTCATCCTTTGTCTTTTCAATCAGAAATCTGTCTCCATAGAAGTTGATATATAACATGGAAAAAAATGGAAGATAAAATTTAGGAGAGGGAAGAGGGTAGAGTAAATCACAGCAACTCACTGGAGATGAGGTTCTAGAACTTATCTGAATCCAAATTGCAAGAGGGTGCGCTGTGCTGCTCCGCTTTGCCACCTCGCTGAAGGAAAAGTTAAGTGGCTAAGTGATTCGGCCGGCAAAGCCCTGACTGACTTCTGAGACTGTGGAAGTCTGGTCAGGTCTTGAAAGCCCTACAGGAATTGCACAGGAATTGAAAACCCTACAGTCTATCACCTCCCTGTCCAAAGCAACCACTCCCACTCTGGCTGAAGTGAAATGTCTTCCTGATGACTTGGTTTTAATTGTACTTCCTGTGAGCAGTCGGATGGAGCAGTTGGAGAGATTCTGGTGTGGCCTGTGAAAGCAGCCTTTGTAACTGCCACGTAACAGCATCCAGTCTTCCAGAGTCCTTGGTGCAGCTTGAACTCTTGTTGTCTTCCTTACAATTATTGACTTGCCTAACAAACAATGTTGGTAGATTTTCAAGAACAACTTTAAATGAAGATGAAAGAAGCCAGATGCCCAGCTCACCTTTGCTTTCTGGTACAGGGTCCGTCCTATCATCTGTGTGCTGTCCAGCATATCCTGTCCAGGCCCCATAGCCATGCACATGGTGGGCTGGAACAAAACGAGACACGGTATGTTCTTAGCAAAAAAGACAATTGTTTTAAGAAATGGAAAATTACAAGTGAATTTAAGCAAATATATTTTAAGACACATTCCAGCATTTCTTTTCAGATAGTCTCTCAGTTTAAATATTATGAAAAACAAAATTGTTCATTGAATTGGAGTAGCAAATATCTTTAGAAATCCTCTATTCCAGCACCTCCTTTTAAAAATAAAGAAAATAAGGGTCCGGTGTGTTAGAGGATTTTCCAAAGACTACACAGGTAGCTGAGACCTAAAGCCACGTGTCTCCACTCGCTGTACATGTCCGCTTGCTTGTTCTTGCCTGTGGTTCTTGCTCATGATCACCTTAAACTGAAATTCAATTAAAAGTATATTGGAAAAACTAGCTGACCCTTGGCGGGGGGGACAGTAAATAAATCTGACTCTATACCTTATTTCTTACATCAGAAAAATTTTAGATTAATTAGATATTTAAATATTATAAATGAAACCAGAAGTACTAAAATTATGAGTGAATATATTTTAAAGTCTGAAGAGCATGAAAGACTCTTCTAAAATTATATAGAACAGGCTTAATAAATCTGACAACTTAAACACTCTAAACATTCATATAGAAAACCAAAACACAAGTAAGGCTGAAAGACAACTGGCGAATGGGGGAAAAGGGGATTGCACTATTTATGACAAACTAAGCCTTTAAAATATTAGGAACTTTAAAGTCGGTAAGAAAAAGTATCTTTATGAATACCTTCTGATTCATCCACACTGAGTTATCTCTTATTTGTAGTAACAAATATCCTATATGTATATCAAAATCATCACATTGTCACGTTAAAATTAAACAATGTCATGTATAAATTATATCTCAATGAAGCTGGAAAAAACATAAAAGTAAAAAATCATCATAATGGGCACATGATGAAATACAGGTAAAAAAAGGTCATTCACAAAAAGAAATGTAAATATCCATTCAACATAAAAATATGTTCAATCTCACAAATAATCAAATATAAGTTTAAGCTGCAAAGAGAACTCTGCATATTGTGTTGGTAACAGTTGAAAAGCTGACAGTCCTTGTGTTGGCGAGAGACGCCGCCTCCGGGGCTCTGTGGGCGGAACCGTGACTGCGGAGCATTCGGGCCAGGCACAGCACGTGGTGGGCTCCTCTTTGAAAGCAAACTCACTTCTAAGAATTTGGCCTAAGAGGAAACTCTTAGTCATGTGAAAAATGTGTACGACAAGCAGAGTAACCATAGCGTGCTTATATGAAGAAAAAAAAGGAGGGGAAGAGTGTGGAGGAAGAAAGGAGGCAGGGAAAGAAAATACTCATCCGCAGGGAACTGGCTAACTGTGGTACTTACAACTGAAAATTACAGAGGGAGTTTAATGATGTTTTAAAGTATATTTGCTAGAAATAAGGAAGCAGGTTATACACTAAAATTACATGATCCACTTAATGTGAAATTGTACATGTATGTATATGATGGACGCATAAAAAGTTATCTGGAGAGAAGCTCACTAAAATTTCAACTGGCTAATTGTAGGGTAAGAGGGTGCTCCTTTACACAGTTTTATTTTCTGAAATTTTACAAGTCGTTCAAATTTAAAACAAGCATATATCTATTCCTAAAAAAACTATTAAAGTTTTTTTTTAAAGAAACCACATTAAAGCAGAAGACACGGCAACTTTTGCCATATTTCCCTTTTTCTCCTTCTTACGTGAATCCTGACTTTGTTCAGAAAGCCACCTCCCCTCACAGCCAGTGGTCCCAGTCCTAGTTCATGATTAGTCTAACACAATCACAGCCGTGCCCTGCGCCTTGCTGAAGATTGGTCAGAACTCCAGACTAAGCCAGTCTGGAATGTACCATTCCCCAGCACCTGTTTTGGTCCAGGGATGGGCATGTGACATAAACTGATCCAATCAGATAGGAGAGAATTTTTCCATCTGGCAAACACGCTGGAATCTAATTTGATGCGTGAAAGGGAACAGAGAAAAACAGAATTCTATTGAGGAAAGGGTATGACTTTATGGTAATTTTTTTCTGGTTATAATGTGTGTACATTGTAGGAAAAAATGTATACATAAAAAATAATAAATAAAAATAACTAGAATAAAGCCCTGGCTGGAGTAGCTCAGTGGATTGAGCACAGGCCTGTGAAGCAAAGGGTCACAGGTTCGATTCCCAGTCAGGGAACATGCCTGGGTTGCAGGCTAGGTCCCTAGTAGGGGACACATAAGAGGCAACCACACATTGATGTTTTTCTCCCACTCTTTCTCCTTCCCTTCCCTTCTCTCTAAAAATAAATAAATAAAATAACGAGAATAAAACCTACTTATAACAGTACCAAAAAGAGAAAACTATAGTCAATAATTCAATGTGTTTTACTTTGACTTTTTGCTATAATACATTATCAAAATTGCAATCGTAATGCATATTCAATATTAAATGCTGATTTTTTAGTCAACATTATGTGTTATGACCTTTCCCCACATTAAGTATTTCAACAGAAGACATAAAGATTAGTTGATGAATACTCTATTGCATATAAGTTTTGAACCATTTCATCTGTGAATTTTTGAATTCAATAAGTAATCATCAAAGCTTGTAAATTAAGTGTGTGAAAATTTTGCAAATAAAGGCTAACAAAGGAACACTTTCTATATGAAAATAGTAATATATACTAGAAGAGTATAATTGCTAAACCTATATTGCTCATGGGGTTGATTGGAATAGAATAAATAGTCCAGAGATAGTGTTTAATAAAAATAGTACCACAGGTGAAATGTTCTTTAAATACAAAGAGTAAGAACCCAGAAACAAGCATCTGTTCATTTAGGTGAAAACTCTGAATGGGCTGCAGGGAGGGGAAATCCATTAAATAAATGATGGCACAGCCTGGTTTCGCTTTGAAACTTACTGCACAGACCTGCAGAGAGTCATAAAACGAAGATGAAGATAAATTGGGTGGAAAACTCAAATCCCGGATGATAAAAAATCAATAAATGAGTTATAAAATGTTGTTTATGGCTACATATACAAATACATAGGAAGATAGGATGTAGGTAACTTCTGGAAAGAGAACGGGGGGTGGGGAGAGGAGGGAGGTGAATAGGGACTTTCACTTTTTACCACTCTATCCTCTATGTTGTTTGAGTTTTCACAGCACGATTTTGTAATTTTCAAAGAAAAGAGGCTGATCTTATATTGTGTAAAAAAATCGACAGACTTCACAATCAGTGAGAAGTGTGTCAGGCAGGGAGTTTTGGGTACTAGCCTGTGACTGCAGAAATGCCAAGGCGAAACGTTGAAGACTGTCCAAATTTGGGGAAGGATATTTAATCTCTGACATTTACTAAATTGTCTCACCATTCAAAAAAACTTCACAATCATATGGAAAATTATAACTTTAGGCAACTGAAATTTAATGGGTGCTTTTAAGAAGAGCAGATAATAGAGATTAAGTAGACCAGAGTAATCTTGAGGAAAACATATTTGTAAATTAATGATGACTATTTAAACATAAAATATAGGTGAGTTACAAAAACAGATTCCTATCATAATTACCTACCCCACCAATGGGACAAGTGCTGTTGACGTTATCACAGGACTCTCCCGTGTTGACACAATGTGGGCCGAGAATATTGGGGGACACATCTCCAAGATTTGATGATGCAAAAGCTGCTACAAACGGTCCCTGAAAAAAAAACAGCCAATTGCATTTTATTCTTTATTCCCATGACTTCAATTAAAAATGCAAACATTTGCCCTGGCTGGTGTAGCTCAGTGGATTGAGCATGGGCCTGTGAACCAAACACTACAGTTTGATTCCCAGTCAGGGCACATGCCTGGGTTGCAGGCCAGTTCCCAGCAGGGGACACACGAGAAGCAACCATACATTGATGTGTCTCTCCCTCTCTCTTTCCCTTCCCCTCTAAAGATAAATTTAAAAAATGCAAACATTCAATCTGCTTTGGTGAACTATTCGAAATCATTTGCACAAAATAAAAACAAGGGCGTACAATATTCTGAGAAAATGTCTTACTCCTGAAAAGGCTCACATTACTGTGAGTGTACATATTATTATTACTCATGACATCCCAATCACCAATACAGCTGTTTCAAGCAGGACAGTTTCAAATTTATGCCTCGAACAGAAACATTTTGACAAGGAGCACAGGTGCAGCAACAAATTACAAAATGCTAACATAACAGTCTTGTCTCTGGTGGTGTACCTAGAGCTCCAAGGAGCATTTGCCCTAGAAAAATAAACATCCTGACGGTTTAAACAGACAAGAGTGAATCCAGATTTTCCTGCCGCAGAACTGAACCTAAATACAGTATCCACCATGCAGTCTTGGGCTTCTGCATCATTTCCTCTATCTCTTCAACCTGAAGTAACGATACATAACCTTTTAGAATGATGCAAGGCCTTAACCTCAAACCAGTCCAGTTTTTCTCTGAGAGGGTTAGGGGTAGAACTGTTCCAGGTGACAATTTTTCCTTAAATTTTATTGAATCTATTGGGGTAACATTGGTTAATAAAATTATACAGGTTTCAAGTGTATAATTCTATAATACAGCACCTGTATATAGTGTGTGTATCATGTAAAGTCGAGTCTCCTTCCATCACCATTTACCCCGCCTGCCTTTACCCTCTCCTACCTGCCCCCACCCCTCTTTCCCTCTGGTAATCCTACTGTTGTTAGTGTCTATGAGTTTTATTTTGTTTTATTTTTTGCTTAATCCCTTTACCTTTTTCTCCCCGCCCCTTAACCCCTCTCCCCTCTGACAGGTGACACTCTGTTCTCTGTACCTATGAGTCCATTTCTATTTTGTTTGTTTATACTGTTCCTTCTTTAATGTCATAAATTTCCTTCAAAAAAGAGATAAGCAAGTATCAGAAATCATGATGCTAAAAAGATGATTTATTTCAAAATGCCTTGCACCCAGCCAGTGGTCATAAATGAGAACCTCCTTTCTTTTTCCTAAAACACAGGCTAAAATGAAAAATATATATGCACAGTTTTCTCAAGAAAGGAGCTACAAGATCAGACCAGATGCTCTCAGGGTCAGTATCTTTATAACAGAGCAGTATTCTAGTCAAGGGCCTGGGGCTCTCACCCTATCATATATTCTTCTGCATTCGGGGCTTAGATGCTGGTGTCAAGTGTGGCAAGATTCCTCCTCTCATTTATCTCTCTGTGGTCACTAATTTACAGAGACTTGAGCAGCTTCCTGGTGTACAGGGCTAGATTCCTGGTTCCTATATCTGGTCCTGTCACTTACTGTGTTTCACCGTTACAAACAAGTCTGATGAATGAGGGTTGTCTCTGATTTAGGCCTTTATTACAGGGAAGGAGAGCAAAGCTCTTGAAAGAAATTCACCATTAAGAGGAAAGTCTGGACCACAAAAAGGACACATTACCTGTTCTCATTCAGGTTCTTACACCATTAAAAAGATGCTTAATACTTTTGTAATTTTGAAAACAAAAGTAAACATCAATACATTTATAATATTTCCAAATCTGATAAAAAAAACTACTATATGTATTGCAAAAACCTGAAACTTGCCTTCCTTTATCCAACTAATTGTAACATTATGAAGCCATCAATATAAGCAGCTTCTGACACAAAGTTTATTTGTTGTTTTGAACTTTCTTTCCTTATAGGGGAAGATGGAAAATACTTTCTATTCAAGCATATCAGTATGTATGTCCATAAGACACTTTACTCTGAAAATTTGAATCAGCTATTCTGAACAGAGTATGAATGATGATACTCAATGAATTCAGATAAAGCTTTCATCAACATAAATTCTCACCTGTCCAGGTAGATATCCTGTGTTCTTATCTTGCTCAAAAAGGTAAGATGCATAGCCCACATTGTCGCTGTTCACAAGGTGGTTGGTGTTGTTCATGCTGACGGGGTGGATGGCAAACCAGCTGTAAGAGCCAGACACCACCCCAAGTTAATGAAGACAGTCAGATAACTGGGGCCAAAATGATGACTGGGAGCTCACGTTTTCCACAGAAGAAAAAAAACACTTAATGATAGGCATTCCACATGTAGGTTCTTTCATTGTTAGTGGGCTCAAATTACCTATAGTATACTCAAGAAATCAGATGATATATTGAAAGATATGCAACTATTTCTATAAATATTTCATCACCATCATCTTCATCATCAGCTTTTAACAAGGCCAAGGTTTGGCAGTTATCAGATATAACTAAAGAATTATCTAGACATTGACTTTGTCCTTCAAGACAGGCACTCATATAATAATTATTCAAATCAATACAATCTATTTCAACAGTCATTTACTGGGAGTCTGCTGTGTGCCAAACACTGAATAAGCTGATGTTTACTTTCAGAATCTTAAAGAGACAACGATGTAAACAAATGATGTTAATACAGTGTGACAAAGGTTATACAAAGTGTTGGGGGGCATAGATGACTAGCAATTGATTCTTTTTTAATTTAATTGTTGTTCAAGTACAGTTTTCTGTCTTTTACTCCCATCCCAGCCCACCCCCTAGTGCTCCCCACCTCCCTCCCATTTCCACCCCCCTTAGTTGTTGTCCATGTGTCCTTTATACTAGTTCCTGTAAATCTTTCCCCTTTTCCCCTGAAATTCCCTCCCCTCTCCCCTCTGCTCAGGGCACTCCAGGGAGAGAGAACAGCAGGGTCACTGTGTGGAGGTGTGAAAGAGGATGTTGTGCATAATTCGACATAGCCTAATGCTTAATAATACACTAAGTGCAGGGCAACACAGCTTACACATTAGTGTCACATCATTACTTTATCTGAACTTCACACCCTGAGAGATGGGCTATTAATACCTCCACTCTACAAGATGCCTCAGAGAAGCAAAACGGTGGCCCACTTGTCGTAGAGAATCGAAATTCAAGTTTAAGTCTTGTGACACCCTGTCCAGTGGCCTTTGTAGGATCAAACCTCCACACAGGTGAAAAAGATATTGCTATGATGAAATGCTGTACAGTAGATTAATTGGAGTGATCAAGAAAAGAACCATTTGAAAATGTTCATAACGGTTTTTTATTTCATCTTCACATCCACTTCAATTTTTTTTTAAACAGTGCCAAATCACCAGCCTGTAGGCTGAATTCAGTCCCCAAAGCGTGTATTTGCCACTGTTCAAAGGCATAGAAGTTTAGGTTGAAAGTAGGTCTAAGATCATCCCCTATAATTTACTCACAAGGTTTCTAAATTTTTTAAAAGGCTTATATTTGTTTATGTTTTGTGGTTTGTCTCTTTCCCCTAAAACTTAAGTTCCAGGAGAAGTTCTATTTAAGTAGTGTTTTCCAGTTTGTTGGGGTCTGCTTTTTTGTAGATTTACTCTCTTTAAAAATGGGGTGGTAGCCAGGACAACTCCATGGCTCCCCAACCAAAATATTTCCATCTAATACAATTGAACTGAGTCCGGCTGGACTGAGCCAAACCACAGACTCTCCAGTGCAATCAAAGTAAAACTGTACAACAACTCTATTAACGTTGCCTATCACTTAGCCCTCATGAGGTAAAGGGGTTTCCAAACAGGATGTCGTTTTAGTCTCACAAGAACCCATTGAGTTAGATACTATCATTATTCTCATCTGACAACTGAGGAAAAGACGTCTCAGAGTGATGATGTAACCTGACCAAGGTCACCCAGGTGTGAGCCAAGAAGCAGGACCATGAACCCAGGTTGGCCGGACCATAAAACCAGATCTTATCTGTTATGAGATACTGGCTCTGTCTCTCTGTTCATTCACTTTCTCATTCAATACACATTCTGTTAACATTCTGTGCCGATGCTGGGGACATAGAGATGAATGAGCATCATCTTGCCCTTAAGAAATGTTTCGCAGAGGATGTGATATTTGAGCTGGATCTTAAAAGATGAATAGGAACCCAGCAAGGGGATCACTGGGGAAAAGTCATTCATTGCAGGCAATGGGACAAGGTGAAGTGTGTCCAGATAATGGATAGTCATGGTGGCCAGAGCAGAATGCATAAGGACAAGGAGATGGAGCTTGTGCCATTCAATCGACATGACCTCATTAGCCAAGTGTGTGGTTGGCATTGTATTAAACCCCAAGAAACAGAGAGGAGTCAGCTGTGGTCTATACAATCAGGAAACCACAATAATAAAACCACTATGAAGAAAGCAAATGCTAAGAATATTGGTGTACTAATTAGACTGTAAAATTGAATTCTTATTTATTTCATTGAGTTGTTTTCATTTATTTTAGGCCTTAAAAATTAAACTTGTTCTTTACAAAAAAGTGAAAAAAACAAGTATTTGAAAAGTTATTTAAATTTCAGAATGAGAAGCTGCTGTATTTTTCTTCCTCTGCCCTTTGAAATATATGCTATTAAAATACCAGGCCTGTTACAGCAACGAAAGGACTACGGTAATAGGTGTACATGTATAAAGATATAAAGAAAGGTGGTCATTTTAACTTAAGAAGACTGTACTCACAACTTGTTTTATCTGGTCAGAAATGTATTCATCAAAGCCGAGTTCAAAAGAGAGGAAGAAAGGCATAGGTAGTTTCAGAAGAAATTATAATACAGACATAAAAGAATGAATATTTCCCTGTTAATGAACATTTTAGAATAATAATTATGTCACAGCTGGGATGTACAAGATGAAGCAGGGCTCAACTTCATCAGCATAATACAATCAAGGTAACGGAGAAAGACAAGGGTTGAGATTTTATCCTAGTTTGTAGCAAAGTTAGTTAAAAGTTCTGGTTCGCTGTTTCCTGAGACTGAAAAACAAAACCTTTCAACTATACTTTGTGAAACATTAAGCAGCAAAGTAATATAGAATATTATAATTATTTTCTACTCCTATCTAATTGAGGCATTTGGAGCAAAAGATTTCTAGGACCTCTTTTTTTTAAGATTTTTATTTATCTTCGAGGGTAAGGGAAGGAGAGAGGAGGAGAAACTTCAATGTGGTTGCCTTTCCTGCATCCCCTGCTGGGAACTGGCCTGCAGGGAACCTGCCTGCAACCCAGGCATGTGCCCTGACTGGGAATTGAATCGCGATTGTCTGGTTCGCAGGTCTGTGCTCAATCCGCTGAGCTACATCAGCCAGGTCTAGGGCCTCTTTTAATTCATACACTGTGTGCTTCCTGCCCTGAAACATTTATAAAAAAAGTCAAATGCAAAAAATGAAGCTTCTTAAATATTCTAAAATAGTAGCAAACCCAGCCTAGGTCCCATTCTCTCAGACCTGAGCCACCATGTCCCGCATACAGAAAGGTGACCGGCAGAGCAGGTAAATGGAAGCTGAAATCCAGCCCCTGCTTAGCTCACTGACCTAGGCACTTTGGTTATCCAAGGGAAGGGAGTGCCTGTGTGTGATTTACACCAAGGTCCTCTGTGCTAGCTGTTACCTCCTCCAACCTAAATGTCTACAAATAGGAAAGGTGAATAATGTAGATCTAGTCAAATGTAGTGCTGTTTATCAAGATGTATGATAAGATGGGAGTTCTTTGGATCAATATATGTCTATTGGAACCTCAACATGTGATCTTATGTGCAAATACAGTTCTTAGCAATGTAATTAAGGTAAAGAGCAAGTGAGATCACATTGGCTCTAAATGTGATCTCTCTAAATGTGATCTCACTAAATTTAGGGTTGAGCCCTAAATCCAATGTCTGGTTACCTAATAAGAAAAGGTACAGAGAGACATGCAGAGACTTGGAGAAGTAGCTGATGTAGAGAGGAAGGCAGAGACTGTTTGACATGATGTGTCTACAAGCCAAGGATTGCTAGAAACTGCCAGAAAGAGGCATGTGACTGGCTTTCCCTCAGAGTCTCCAGAAGAACCAACCCTGTCAATACCTGGATTTTGAACTTCTGGTCTCTTGACCTGTCAGAGTGTTAATTTCTGTTGTTTTGAGCCAGCCAGTCTATAGTAATTTGTTTTGGCGGCCCTAAGAAATGAATGCAGAGGTCATATGTTTTAGTGGTAAAGAGTATAGCTCTGGAGTTGGACACAAGGTGTTTGTTTGAAGCTCAGTGTTTCAACCTATGTCATAAAGATAATAGTAATATATACATCATAGCATTTGACAATTAAAGAAACAAATGCATCTAAATTGCTAAAGTCTAAAGTCTGGTCTACATTAAGAATGGAATAAGTCATCATTACGATGACGTTGATGATGCTGATATTTATACTTCTGCACATGATGTTGATGGTGATGGAAAAAAAGAGATACAAAGTTCTAAATGTGTGTGCATATATCTTATAAGCTTAATACAATGTCAAAAGATATGGTATGTGAGTTTGTGTATATTCAACACATGTATATTCAACTTACATGGCATAGGCATGGAATAATTAAATGAGAAAACCCTGTCCTCTGGGGGCAGAGACTTGAGGGCTTACAAAATACCCATGTTGGCACATCATGGGTATTTTCCTATGCCCCTAGATGGGGAAAAGGATATGGGTCCTGGGTGAAAAAGATGAAGGGATCAAGTAATTCAAATTGGTAGTTACAGTGCAGCACAGGGAATAATATCATGATAAGTCTGAGTGGGGACGGATGGGTACTAGGAACACGATTGGAGGGGGGTAGAAACCTGTCTATAAAGTATATAACTTTCTAACCACTCTACCGTATATAAACTAATACAGAATAATACTGAATATAAACTGCAATTGAAAAATAAAAGTGAAAAATAAAAAAATAATTCAAAAATTATCTATGGCTCCTCTGTTTCCCAGTCCTACCAGTAGGGCAGAGCATGGAAATTGCTCTGGGGAACAACATGTGTACAAAAGGACCACACAATTTTCATCAGACTTTGTGTGAATGGGAAATAAGTCTTCACTGTGTCAAGCGACAAGAATTTCACATTGTCCATTGTGAAACTTGCAATTAAGTACCCTGATTAACATACTTCTTTTTTACCTCC